TTTTATCTTTTTGTGTTTTGGTTTGACTAATTTTTATTGCTGTGTATTCCTCTATAATGTCCAAATTGGTGCTAATACTATCCAGTGTACTTTTTTATCTAACATATTTTAATTTCCATTTCCAGATAGTTGATTTGGGTAATGTTTATATCTTCCATGCCTGTACTTATCAAGTTCAATCATTCATCTGGCTTCTTAACATATGGAACATAGTCATAAAAACTTGTAATGTTCTTGCTAACTAATTTTATCATCTGAGTCATTTCTGAGTCAATTTAAATTGATCAGTGTTTCTCATTTAAGTTGTATTTCCCTGCTTCTTTGTATTTGTGTGTTACTTTTTGATTGGATGCCAGACACTGTGAATTTGATCTTATTAGATGCTATATATTTTTATATTTCTATAAATATTTTGAGTTTTATCTGAGACATGGTAAATTACTTGGAAATAGTTTGACCCTTTGAGATCTTGCTTTCGACTTTTGTTAGATGGGACTGGATGTGTGCTTACTCAAGGGTTAATTTCTCCTCAATAAATTGTTTTTTGACTTGTAACTGATGTACTATGAATTTTGAAATATTTTGGTTGGGCCTTTTAGAACATGCATATCCCTAGCCCTGTGTGAGTACCAGGTATTATTCCTTGTATGCCTTTTCAATTGTTTCTTCCTCAACTTGAGTGATTTTTCTCATGTATGCTCTCAGAATTACTCAATTGAATAAGCAAGGGGAGCCATTTGAAGATTTCTATAATTCTCTTTCTGTGCATCTCTTGCCTCTCTTGGACTTTGCACTGTGAATTCTAGCTGCCTTGACTTTCCTGTACACACAGATCCTCTATTCATGGAGACTGCCAGCCCTGCTCTCCTCCCTGCTTTGTAGCCTGGAAACTTTCACCAAGGAGTAATTATAGGGCTCATCTCTTCTGTTTTCATCTCTTAGGGTTCATTATCTTCTTTTGCCTGATGTCCAATGTCTTGAGTACATTGGTTCATATATTTTGTCTGTTTTTAGTAGTTTTACATTGATAACTCTGCTGCCTTTTATTCCATCTTATTGAGAAGCAGAAATCTTCATTATTATTTAATTAAATAAGCTACATAGTGACACGAAAGGCATATTATCACCTGTGTAGGCAGCAAATTCATAGCATAATCAGTATAAAAATCCCTAAATGAACCAAAGTGAATAAAAGAAAATTATTTTAAAAATTTGTTTTGAAAGTATCCAAACAACCATAGATGGGTTACTAATTTTAGTAGTGATCTTTAACAATTCCTCAGTTATTTCGTGTCCCTAAATTATATTTTCCTAAAGGAATAATCCGACCTTGGATATCCTCTATAGGGACATAGCACTCACATCAAGGAAAATAATATCCAAGTGTATTTTGTCCTCATCAGATCATATCTGGAGATTTCTGTTCTGTTCTAGGAAGTCTAGTTTCAAAAAGAGTATTGATAACAAAAGCAATTTCGGGGAACAATAGCTAGAATAGAGAGTAAATATCAGATGTGATATGACTAAAACAATTAATGAAATTGATTTTCATAAGCGACAGCTTTTTAAAAAGCATAATATCAAAAAGGCCTATGGAAAAATGAATAGACTTAGTGTGTACCATAAGATAGCAATAGACCTAGCAGCTACTTCTCAGTATAAGCAAAAATATACTAGCAGATTTGAACATAAATGTAAATGGTTAGGTATAAACATTATAGCCCTGGAAATATTTGAGCAGACATTCATTGAGGAAACCATAAAGAGTATTGTAAACCTGTGTAGAAACTACCTACAGTGGCCTACAGTTTCTTCCTATCTTAATTTCTGAGGTCCAGTGTTTTGTAATATGGGCTCCCTGACACCTAGGGGATCTTCTGAGTCCTTTTAGAGACCACTACATAGGCTAGAGGACTCCACAGGGGAGGGATGCATTTTCACACCATATCTACCACACCCACTTCGGTCAGGAGAGCACAGCTTTTAATAGCTTTATATATTGACTTTCTCATGAAGAGCTGAAGAAAAAGTTTTGAAGAAAGTGTTATATGAATAAAAAGACTTGAAAACCCAGAGATGAATTTCTATGAATTTACCTTCTGATTTTTTCAGTTAGTAATAATTCTGAAACTTTCATATTGGAATGATAAAGTGCTGCAAAATCAGGGAGCTCATTTATTTTGTGGTCACTCTTGGATTGCTGCTAAATAAAAATGTCACATCATTTAAAAGCTTAAAAAGTAAAATTTGCACAGTACAATGAATTCAATTCAACGGTGGCATCATTTCCAAGAATAATTGTTTGTCCTCAATTCAGTGTAGGAAGTGAAGGACAATTTTTCTTTTTCACCTCTATTACAGAATTTATTTTTAAAAGCCACACAGAAAGTGTCTAGGATAAAAAGAAAGAGAATTATTCAGGTGAATTCAGAGCTTGTATGAGGAAGATATGAAAGGAGGAATTGAATCAGTGTTGTAAAGTTGAAAAACAATGGGTTTTTTTTTTCCTAAAGACATAGCAAGTAGACAGCCATCTCTCCTTAGATATCTGTTTCTCCGCAGGTTACTTGTGCTATAAGGAAAGGATTTTTTTTAGAACAAAGCTTTTGTTTGTCTAGTTAGTGAGGTGTTTTACCTTTTGAATACACAATTTGCATCACAGCCAAAACTTCTTAAAAACCAAAGAAGTAAAACAGCACATGGAAACAAGATACAATTTATGGATGACATAGCCCTTGTCTCAAAGTAGCTGTGTCAAAATTGGACCTGCACTGATTCAACATAGAAAGTGCAACATTCCTTACTGACAACTCTTTGCTCCTGCTTCACACATTTATCCATACTTTTACCCACAGAGGTTTTCCTGCATTTATCATGAGATGAATAATATTAAATTTTCTTATAGGTGGCATTTTAGGAAGTCAGGGAAAATCTGTATTTGCAGTCATGAAGATCTTTAAGATATAATTTTACCTATCTGAAGGTCAGTTTTTTAATCTATAGAAGTTGTGAAGGGTGAATGAATATAAATACTTAAGATATAATAAATTCTCCATAATTTTAGTATTGTTATTGTTATTAATAAGTTGTTTATTCTGTTACTCTCATTTGTCTAAAATTCAAGAAATTTTTTTTAACATTTTAATCTTTGTGGACTATACTTGCTTTTTTGAAATAATGAATGTACTTTGTATTTATTTTTGGCTGCTAATAGCCAATTTAGGATACTCACAAATATAAATAGTATACTGTTGGGTTCAAAATTACAGATCAGATGTGGACCTCTAACTCATTTTTAGATGGTCCCCTTCCCTATTTCAAGAAGTTCCTCCATCATCCCAACACACATTCAACTCAGACTTGTACATTGGCGCAACCCATGACTCTAATTATTTCATCTCCAATTTTAATGATGATGGTGCTGATGATAAAGAATATATTTTGCAAATTTATAAAACTGAAGTATGAAAAATGCTATTACTGTTACCTATATTATCTACCTGTCAACATATTCCTACAGCCTACAGAATTAGAATACCATGGTATTGGTTTATTATATTATCTTTCCAGAACTATCTAGATATTTACAGAGAATTTCTGAGAATCAATACATTACTTCTTGGAGGACATTTTGAAATACAGAAAAACACACATAAAATAAAACAAGTTCCTCACTTCAAAATCAAATAATATATAGTGAGAAGCAAAAGAGTCTGTGCTCTGTTCATTCTCCAAAGGACAGAGTCCTGAACAAGTTTGAGAATTTTAATCATCAAAGTGTAAAGTGCAGGGAGAGAGGTAAGAGATAAAACTGGAGAGATTGGGAGGGATCAGTCAATGAGGACCTTTCAACATTACCCTACAGGGTTTGAATTTCACCCTGAGAATAATGGAAACCATTGAAAAGATTTCCAAAAAAAAAAAAAAAAAAGAGAGAGAGTAATCTGATCAGATTTCCATTTTTAAAAGCTCACACTGGAAGTAGTAAGTAGTATGGAAGATAGATTAGAGGATGGAAATAAGTTAAACCATGATAGTAATTAAGGATAGAAATGATGAGGATGTGACCTAAGATAGTAGCAGAAGTTTAAAAGAGAGGATTAGTTCAAGAATTGTTTAATACATACATAACGAGTGATAGGCGCACCATCTGAGGGATGGTTATGCTGGAGACTCAGACTTGTGGGGGGAGGGGGGAAGGGCATTTATTGAAACTTTAAAATCTGTACCCCCATAATATGCCGAAAAAAAAAAAAAAAGTAACAGCAAAAGGCCTTAATGGATTGGAGATGATAGAAAATAAAAATCTTGGGTTACTATGTGCTATAATTCATCTAAATAGGAAACATTGGACCAGGAATAAATTTGAGGTAGTGCAAGCAATAACGAGTTTGGCTTTTTGAACAAATTGAGCTTGATATTCTGCTGGAAACTTTAAATTATACATATTCAATAGGCAGTTGAATGTATGGATGTGGAGTGCATTTGAGAGTTTTGGAGTCATCAGCATATAGCTAGGTAGAACAGGATAGCTCAGGGAGACAGTAGTGTGAAAAAACAAAAAAGGGCTAAAATAATTTTAGAAAAACCCTTATGTTTAGAAGAGAACAAAGAGTCCAGGAAGTGAATCTGAGGAATGACTACAGAAATAGAACACCACGGTAGAGTTACAAATGCCAAAGCAGAGCGTTCCCAGCAAGAAATCTTCTCCTCTAAGATGTCAAGTGACATATGGAAAGCAATGTCGATTGCATTAGACACTTAACTGCTCTTTAGCCCCCCTGATAAGAGGGGTTATAGTAGTATTGTAGGGGAAGGGTCCAGACAACAGTGAAATGGAAAGTGAATGTCCCATGTCCCTGTGGGCCAATCCAGGGAAGACTGCATTGTTCACCAGCATAGCTGGTATGTAGGAGGGAGAAGTTGAGAATAAGTGTATAAATTATTTCAGGATTGAATGAGTAACAAAAGGAAAATCTTTTTTTTTGTTTTCTCCTCAGAGAGAAGCTTTTAAAGGAATGAGATGGGAAGCAAGTGTATTTCAAAGCAGAAGAGGGTGACATGAGGAAGAAGCCACCTCTCTTTGAGAGATGAGGCCACTTGATTGACACAGGTCAGTGCTTGGGACTTCATATTTTCTGAATTTTCCCCTTTACTTACTTTAAAGTAGCCCCCAGGTGACTCCAAGATACTGTCCCATCTTTAGACTCACTATTGGCACCTTCCTCCCACAGACACTCAGCGTTTGCTGAAGCAGCAAAGGGTGAGATGGCACCACCCTCAGGATTGTCCCTCATGGTTTCTTCCACAGTTAATCAAAAGCCTTTCTCTTTAAAAGGGAAAAAGAAAAAACAGCCATCAGTCTCTGGTAGCTTAGTGGGTGGGGTTGTCTAATGGTCAGTGAAGGGTCTTCCTCCTTACCATGCCAACTCCCTGAACTGGAAACGCTGGAGAAAGCCCTGGGCAATTCTGGGAAGACCTATTCTTCCTTCTCACTTTTGACAAGCCCTTGGCTATGTCATATAGAAAATGTACACATAGTCTAAAGTGTTTCCTTCTTTGTATAATTTGAGAGGAGTGCTGAGTTTGTTTTTTTTTCTGGTGTAATCTGTAGAAGGTATGCCACTCATAGACATTACAGTACTTCCCTATTAAATGTCTTCTATCATTGCTATTCTTTTGGTGGGAGGCAGAGGAGGGAAACAAAAACAAAATACCATATGAGCAAAAAGCCCCATGATATCTCATTTGTAATTTGATGCTCTTTTCAGAAATAAAATATCTCAGTCAAGACTCTTTTTGCTGCAAAGAACAAAAATACAACTCAAAATAGCTTTAGCAAACTTCATTGGTTTGCATAACCCAATCGTGGACAGTCAGGAGGAGATTTACTCTTGGAGAATCCTGGATGCAGGGACTTGAAAACTGTCTACCACTCACTTATGGTTCTCTCAACTTACTGGCTTTGCTCTCTTTAACTCTAAGTGGATTTTCTCCATGACTTGATAAGATGACCTTACATTGCTCTGATTCTGGGAGATACAGGTCTTCTCTCTATTCTATCCCATTGTATCATATCAGATCATCATATCATACCATATCATATTACATCATCATATCATATCATCTAAAGAAAATCTCAACTTGGCCCCCTGTAGGTCATGTATCCACCCAACCCCTTGAACCAATCACTATGTCCAGGAAAATGAGAACTACAATTTTCCCAGCCTAGGTCATGTTCCACCTTTATGACATTAGTTGTAGGATCTGTTGCCACAGAAGGGTAACATGAGAAAGGTCACTGAGAGAAACCTCATCATCATTATAGAGCAACCTCTATTTGTGTCTAGTCCAACAACTAAGATCAAATTATGTACCAATATTAATATAAAATTTTGCCCTTTTTAAGATAAAGGAAGCACTTATTAAGCTAAAATAATTGCTCATAAAATAGAGGTCTTTCATTAGCTGCCTGGTGAAAAGATGCACAAAGGCAATCTAGATAGTATGTTATCAGGGAAGCCTGGGCTTTCTATTACTTCCTGTGTAATAGTGGGAGAATTGCTAATTCTCTTTGAGCCTCAATTATTTTTCACTGATTACAATTCCACATTAAAATACTCAACTCCTTATGTTTTTTAGAGAATTCAGCAAATTAATAAATGTAAAATTTCTTGACATATCTCACTCATGTAATAAATCTTTTCTAACCTGTACTGGAGGCAAGTGCTTAACAAATTCACATTGCCTTCACTAAATGTTTGTGCATTTGGCACTGCTCAGTTTTTGATCCTGATTTCAATCTCATCATGTTACCATCTTCTTATTAGAAAGAGCCGCCACTGCCTTCCCTAAGAGCAGTAAAGCAGAGAAAAGCAATGAAGTGAAGAACCTTTCCACAGGTTGTACATGAGGTACATTTGAATTTGAAAAATGGATTAACTATAGCATTCCAGAGGCCTAGCCCATAGGGTAAACACTTAGTAACTATGTCAAGGAAGGATGTGTAATAGAAGGTAATAATATATATTCTTGAATTGTTAGAGATTTAATACCTGGCTTTGACTATTAACTAACAAGGTGTCTTTGGTAAAGGTGCTTAGCCATTTTGAGACCAGTAGTGTTCCACCACTGCCAAAATGAATATAATAATAACTGCCTTAGAACAGAGGGAGTGGTAAGAAAAGGTGCTGAAATAAAGATATGTATGACTTCTAGAACAGAATCAAGCAGATGTTCTTAAGAATTTAACTCTCTCAGGGATATAAGGAAGTAAGACCCCCATCTCAATAGATGCAGAAAAAGCATTTGACAAAATTTGGCACCTGTTTATGATAAGAACACTTAACAAAATAGGCATAGATGGAGCATACCTAAAAATTATAAAAGCCATAGATGACAAATCCACAGCCAACATCACACTAAATGGGGGAAAATTGAGAGCATTCTCACTTACAAACAGAACAAGACAAGGTTGCCCACTGTCACCACTTCTGTTTAAGATAGTGCTGGAGGTACTAGCCAGAGCAATCAGGCAAGAGAAGGAAATCAAGGGTATCCACATAAGGAAAGAACAAATCAAACTCTCATTCTTTGCTGACAATATGATTTTATATCTAGAAATCCCCAAAGATTCTGCCTGAAGACTCCTGTAATTGATAAATAAATTCAGCAAAGTCTCAGGTTACAAAATCAATGTATACAAATCAGTGGTAGCATTCCTATATGCCAACAATAGTCAAGCTGAGAACCAAATCAATGACTCAATAACTTTCACAATAGCAACAAGAATAAATACTAGGTGTGTAAGTAAATATATATATATATATAGTTCTATATTATATACACACCAAGGAGGTGAAAAACCTATACAAGGAGAACTATGCAACACCAAGGAAGGAAATAGCAAAAGATGTAAACAAATGGAAAAACTTATGCTCATGGATGAGCAGAATTAACATTGTTAAAATGTACTACCCTATGTTATTTACAGATTCAATGCAATCCCCACTAAAATACCAACCTCATTTTTCTCAAATCTTGAAAAAATTATCCTATGGTTTGTATGGAACCAGAGAAGGTCCTGTGTAGCCAATGAAACCTTAAGGAAAAAGAACAAATTAGGAGGCATCAATTTATCAGATTTCAAGCCATACTACAAAGCTATAGTAACCAAAACCGTATGGTATTGGCACAAGAACAGAGACATACACCAATGGATCAGAAAAGAGAACCCACTTATAAAACCATCCTCATATTGCCATCTGATCTTTGACAAAGCAGACAAAAACATACACTGGGACAAAGAAACTCTATCCAATAAATGGTGCTGGGAATATTAGATAGCCCCTTGTAGAAGGCTGAAACAAGATTCACACCTTTCACCCCTCACAAAAATTAATTCACAATGAATAACGGACTTAAACCAAAGACATGAAACCGTAAGAATTCTAGAAGAAAATGTAAGGAAAACTCTTATATATGCTGGCCTAGGCAAAGAATTTATGAAGGAGATCCCAAAAGCAACTGCAGCAAAACAAAAATAAATAAATAGTACTTGATCAAAAAGTTCCTGCATAGCCAAGGAAATAATCAATAAAGTGAATAGATAACCTACAGAATAGGAGAAAATATTTGTATACTATACATCTGATAAAGGGCTGATAACCAGAATCTACAAAGAACTCAAGCAAATCAGCAAGAAAAAAATCAAACAACTCCATTAAAAGGTGGACAAAAGACATGAACAGAAGGTTTTCAAAAGAAGATAGACTATTGGCCAACAAACATACAAAAAAAAAATGCTCAGTGTCTCTAATCATCAGGGAAATGCAAATACAAACCACAATGAGATATCACCTAACTCCAGTGAGAATGGCCTTTATCAAAAAGTCCCAAAATAGATCCTGGTGTGGATGCAAAAGAAAGGAATACTTACACACTGTTGGTGAGACTTCAAACTAGTACAACCTCTATGGAAATTAGTATGGAGACACTTCAAAGAATTAAAAGTAGACCTATCATTTGATCCAGGAATACCACTATTGGATATTTACCCAGAGGAAAAACAGTCATTTTATCAAAAAGACCCTTGCACTCAAATGTTTATGGCAGTACAATTCACAATTGCAAAGATGTGGAAACAATCCAAGTGCCCATCAATACATGAGTGGATTAATAAAATGTGGTATATTTATACCATGCAGTACTACTCAGCTATATAAAAAAAAATGGTGAACTAATATCTTTTGTAACAACCTGGATAGAACTAGACCCATTCTTCTAAGTGATGTATTGTAAGAATGGGGGGGAAAAACCTACAACAAGCATTCTCTATTAAATTGGTACTAATTGATCAATATTTATGTGCACATATGGTAGTAACATTCATCTAGTGTGGGGCAGCTAGGAGAGGGGAGGAGGTGATAGGTATTTTCACACTTTATGGGGGCAGTGTACACCGTTTTGGGAATGGACATGCTTGGAGCTCTGACTCTGGTGGGGCAAAGGCAATATATGTAACCTAAATATTTGTACCCCTGTAATATGCTGAAATAAAAAAAAGACTCAAGTTGCAGCATGGATATGTGATACAATTTATAAAAATATTATGTATATACATGTGTATATATGTATATTTATATGTTTTATATGGACACATATTTGTAATTATACATATATATTTATTTTTATGTGTGTACACACACATACATAGCTCAGTCAGTGTATAATATAGCATTTTATTTAAATTTCTCAATTTTTTCTTCCCTCTTCCCCAAAGAAGTTGTAAATCCTTTGCTTACTGTCTATTCTTCTATAGCTTTATCTACACATGCACCATAATGCACCATACATGTGAATATAATGTTTAAATATTTTAAAATTAAAATTGGATCATGCTATGTAATTTTACACAATATAATTTTGTCATTTAAAAATAAAGGAGATTTTTTTTTTTTTACTATTTTATTGCAGTATACCATATGTGCAGATAAGTGTATAAATCTTAAATCTACCTTCGGCCTTTTTTTGTACAAAAGCATGCACCTGACCAAACGAATATATATAATATTGCTAGTGCAATGGCTTGCTCAAAAACATGTAAAAGTGGTG